TCTGATTGGTTAGTTGTGCCCAATCCTGATTTGTTGTTTTGGTAGTATTGATACCTCTGGTTCTCTGCCTGGTTGCTGGGTGGGCATGGCCATGGTGGCCGTGGCCTTCACGGGCCTGTTTCCGGACTTCCGCTAGGCCCATTATTTGCCCTCCCCAGGCTCTTGAAGCTTTCCTCAAGCCTCTGGGAGGGCAAAAACAGGCTCCCCTGGGCTCCGGAGACCCTCTGAAGGCCAGAAACGGGCCCATTTCCAGACTTCTGAAACTTCCAGGAGGCCTGTTTTTCGCCCTCCCAGAGCCTCCGCACAGGCCCTGCACTTACCTGGCATCCAAAACGGGCCGCATGGAGACTCCTGGGAGGAGAGGGGAGAGGTGGACGGGGCCAGCCAGTCCTTGCAACTACCGGTTTGGCGAACCAGATGTAAAATTAGCATCCACTTCGCCCGAACCGGTCCAAACCGGCTGAATTCCACCCCTGTATAAAATTAAAGTTAAGGTTAAGTACTGGAGTTCTGATGCTGATGTTTTTCTCTCTTTCGCAGCATCAGAAGTATTATGTGTTACTCTTTGAAGTAAACTTAAGGAACTAGTAGTTTCTTAATATTTGGTTCATCGTTGATTAGGAAATAGTAAATTAGAAGCCCATTTTTTTTCAAGTGAATGTGAAACTGATATTTCTGAGCTGTGGCTCTTTTTTTCCAATGATTACTTTGATTCTGGCATCTTCCAACGCAGTGTCAAATAAACTGTATGGCAATTGGAATTATATTTATTTAAAATAATGTTTATAAATAACTTATCCGTCATGACTATATCACAGTTGCTTTAAGGAAAATATCTAACCAAATTAATCTTATTTCCAGTAGTATTGTTTCTGAGGATAAATTTCCAATTGTTCTCCCCTCCCTCTAAAAATAGCACATAATATTGTTATGCTGAGAGTCTGTTTGGGGTAGTGCTTAAGGCTCCAGGCTAGAAACTAGGAGAATGTAAGTTTTAGTCCCACTTTAGCACAAAGACAATTGGGTGATCTTGGGCCAGTCACTCTCTCTTTCAACCCTAGGAAGCAGGCAAGGGCAAACTACAGTATTTCTGAAAAACCTTGTCAAGAAAACTGTAGGGACTAGTCCAGGTAGTAGCTAGGAGTCAAAAACTGACAGAAAGGCATTAAATAAATAAATAGCTTTTACCAGCTATTTAAGGAATTATAGTGCGCTCTTCATCCCAATAGCCTTCCTCAGTATGATATTCTCCAGACTTGGCATACTACTCCTACGTTTCCAACCTGTATAATTTGGGGATGTTGTCATTGAAAACTGGGAATTCTGCAAATCACAGGGTCAACAGATCTAGAAGACACCACAATGGGTGGTTTCTGCCAACATTTTGGCAGTCGAAATGTTTAAAATGCATTTTAAAAATGTAAATGGATTTTAGAACACTGCATTTGCTTCACCAGTCCTTCTTGTTGGCAATTTTCTGCCTTGAACACATTTAATCAGAAGACTTTCAGAGAGCTTCAAAGCAACTGTGAAAGTATCTGTGGTTGCTTTACAGCTTCAAGGATGGGATTTCAAGGGGGGGGGGCTTTTGGGTGAGCAAACCACTTCAGATGATTTGTACAATGATGGTGCAGCTGCTCTGATAAGAACTTACTATGCTTTCTGAAAGAAACAGGGACTGCACTTAAAAGGAGATACAGAAAGCGAGCCAAGAATAAACTGCTTGCTGAGACAATGATGGATGCTAAAGCACAAAAATGGCCACAAATCAAGAGAGAGGAGGTTCAATCTCTGTACAAAAATAAATTATGAACTGTTATAGAGATATCAAAGTGGAGAAAGATCATTGGTTGTAAAAGATCCTTACTATCAAACAAGCTGCAGAAGAGGACATCCAGATATGGAGAGTCAGGCTATTTACTAAGGAACAGCCCCATTAATAAGGAAAAGATTACAATGAAACCTTCACACCTATGGTGAAACATCCTTCCGTCAGAGCCCTTCTCAGTGGTACTGAAGCAAGAAAAATGTATGTCCAACATCTGGATGTGAAGGCAGCCCTCCTGTATGGAGACATTAAGAAAGGCATTTGTATGCAACAAACAGCAAGGTTCAAATAATCTGGGAAAGCAGGATTCGTGTGCTAGCAATAAGGGAGCATTTATGGCTTGAGGCAAGCTGTTAGAGCATGGAGTGAAAAGCTAAACCAAATGCTTTTTCGAGAGCGTTTTATACAAGGTGAAGATGATCCTGGCTTATCCTTGAGGTACAGAGGTAAGTGATGAATAGTTGATTTCATTTTGAGCACCAAAGATGAGAGAAATAGTCAAGAAATTATTGCCTACTTTTAAAAAAAAACACACACGACGAGATGGAAGCAACTGGAGGAAATTTTGTATCACCTTGGAATACAGATTACAGGAGAAGGTGGTGAAGGTTTCTTCCTTAACCAGAACCAGGAGGCGGTGGACTTGATAGATACCTCAGATTGACAGAGGCTAATGAAGTGGACACTGCAACAGAAATGAAATTCCTTAAAGACCATGATACCTGTAAGCCTCTGTAAGGCAGCAGTCCGTGCAGAATAGCAATTGGAAAGCTTCTGTGTATCTCAACTGTAACTGGGCCAAATATTGCAGCAATATGAATCCTGGGATGGAGTATTTTATAGTAATTTTATTTAAGATTATAATTACAATAGCAAAAACTAAAAAAGAATAGAAAGAAAAGATAGGAGGAGTAGAAAAGAAAAATGGTAAAAGAAAAAATATAAGAATATGATGATAGATAGATAGATAGATAGATAGATAGATAGATAGATAGATAGATAGATGATAGATAGATAGACAGGACTTCCCAACTTCATTGCAAGTATAAACAATTTTGCTAATTTATCACCTTCTCTTAAAAATCAATAAATGATATCTTCTTTTCATATCTCACCTCTTATCCATAACAGGACAGTTAAAGAGAAGAGCACGTCATTTCAGTCCTGATGGCCCAAAAGTCCATTAAGGGTTGCAAGAGATAACAACTTATCTATTCTAACATTGATCAAATAAATCAACATTATATTCCTATATTTACTTCTAACAATCTTTAATCTGTAGTCCCTCCAAATAATGCCATGGAAATTTCCATCTTTTCATATATATTTTTTATTTGTACTTTCTATCAACAATTTTAACAAGCCTCTTACATTTAGCCTCTTCTGAATGTTAACAAGCCACTTTTGTAATCCTATGTAGGAAATTACCCAGTTACTCTCTTAAATTGTTGTTTATATATTGCTTTTAATTAGTAAAGCATCTGCTGGTTTCTTTTGTATATCCACTGTAACATCTTTATGTTATTCTTAGTCATTTCTAAATCTACTTTTTATTCAGAAATCTTGTCAGGTAAAATGTGTTCCTCTTCCATAACATTTTTAGCCACTATCTGTAGAGGTGGGTGCTATTACAATTAAGGTTCAATACATTGTTCAAAAATATCCTTCAAAACGTCCAATGTTAAAATATTTTGCTCCATTCTGTAAATATAAGTTGAGTTTGAGTTTAAGTGTTTTTCTCCTTTAATTGTAATCTTTAGTTCCCTCAAGTCCAATTTTTGAAATGTTAATTTTTTAAAAAGAAATTCAAAACAAGCATTTTCCCCCGAGAAAGATTCTTTATAATTAATTCTAAACTCTTATTTCAAATTTATCTGGACCCTTACTCTATTCAATACTTTTTATTGAAGTTTTTATTATCCTTTTACTATTATTCCAAAAACACTTTTTAAGTTTTTGAACTTGTAGTTAAAACTTCTTTTGCTAAGTATTGAATGAAACTCATCCAGTACTGTAAAATTTCCTGATCCAAAGGTTGCAATAATTAAAAACAGTTAACAACAATTTCCTAAAGCAATTAGAAAAGGGAGTATGCAAATTTAGTTTTCCTTTAAAGGCAGAATCACTGTTGGAGCAAGATGGCTACTCCATTGTCTCCCAGAACTGCCTTGGATTTTTTTTTTTTTTTGTGAGGAGTAGCTGAATGGAGCATGTGCAGACAATCTCAAGCCCTCTCCTTGTCCAGAGAGAAATTACAAAAAGCAGTCTACTCATTGGTTCTTCATTCTTTGCCATGGTCATTGCTTTAACTTTTCAAAGAGCTGTCTTCGGTCTATCATTTCTTCCTTCTTCCAAGAAGTCCCACTTTGAGCTTTTTCTGAGAAGAAACCAATATTATCTGCAAACAGAGATCCTCTCTTCCATTAGGTTATATAGATGCAAACTGGGCTGGAAACAGAAAAGACTAAAAGTTTACCAACTAAAAGTTTGTATTATAGAGAAGAAATTATCAATTAGACTAGTAAAAAACAGATAATCTCTCCTTTACTGAAGTAGCAGCTCTAGCATGTCAAGAGTTTACTTAGCTACTCAAGATATTGAATTTTGCAATCAATGAACCTAGTCTAACCACAAGGCACAAAGTTAACAAAAGCCGCATTCAGGGTACCCAGTCAAAAAAACCTGCAACATGTATAAAGCATGTTCATGTTTTTTTAAAAATTATTTATTCAGCTCAGTGAACTAAAAATTACAGTTAAATAAATTTAAAATCAAGATCTTGAGATGCAAAGATGTTGAGTGAATTAAACCAAGATAAATGTTAAAGTTAAAATGATAAAAAGTTAAAATCAACAATTACAAGTCAGTAGAAAAAAACTCCCACATGTTTTAAAAAGCTAACACAGGCACAAGAGTTTATAACTGTTCACTCTAAAGTCTGGGATGGTGATTATTTGGGTTGCCACCAATTCACCTTGCAACAATTGTAGTGTTTATCCTCAGTTTCATATAGAAACGATTCATCTCGACAGTCTGGACCAAAGATACGTAGTGTTTTAGAAGTGATGACTGTCACTTTGCATTTTCCCCAGAATCAAATTGGTCACTAGTGCAATGCATTAAGCACATGTATGTTAAATCGTGGGCGATTAAAGGAAGACTCGAAACAATGTAACTGTAACTCTTTTATTTAACTCCAGAAACAGCAATGGCAATTCAAACCCCGGGCAACCCTTTATATAGGAAGGGGCTGTCCCCGGCTGCAACCACTGACGTGCCTTCTAATTTCCCGCTCTCAGGACTAATTCCTGATTGGCTCATTTGAACTGTACTTGATATCTAACACTCCTCCCCCCTAGTTCAGTGTCCGCCCGTCCGGGGTCTCTATGCTACGTAGTCGCGTAAGTAGGCGGGTCGCTTGGAGGTTCGACCGGACCTGCGCAGTTCAGTCGTTCCGGTGTCTTCGGGTTGAGAGGTTGAGGTCCGCTGCTCCCTCTGTGTGGGCTCTGGAACTCTCTCGAACTCAGTCTCCGGCGTGGATTCGCCTCCTTCTCCCACTTTACTTGGCTGTCCCCGCCGGCTCCTTTCGGCGCCTGTCGCCTCCTCCGTGGACTCAGGTACGTGCTCGCTGTTATCTTCTTCCGGGCTGGTGTTAGGCGTGTCCAGAAATGGTGTTTGTGTATTGGCCCGCTCTGGTACCGCTTGCGTGTCTTTTCCTTCCCCCTGGTTGTTGTGCTGGGTTTCCCTCTCGACTCTCGTTAATCTTCCCCTGAGCTGGTCGATGTGCCTTTTCCAGTGCTGGCCGTCTGTTGTCTGGACCCGGTAGGACAGGGGCCCCGTCACCTGGGTTATTGTTGCTGGTACCCAGAGTGGGTTTCCGCTCAGGTTTTTTGCGTAGACTCTGTCCCCTGGCTGGAACTCTCGGATTCTGCTCGTGGAGTCGGTTGGCTTCTCTGTGCTGTACTGCGGGTGCAGTCTGTCCAGAGGGGATCTCAGTTTACGGCCCATTAATAATTCTGCTGGGCTTCGGTGGGTCGTGGCGCTTGGTGTAATGTGCTGGATGGCTAATAGTTTATCTAATTTGGCCTGAATGTCCCCTGGGCCTAATCTCATAAGCGTCTCCTTTGTAGATCTCACCATCCGTTCCGCCAAACCGTTCGTCGAAGGTTTTTTGGGGGCCGATAAGGCGTGCCTTATTCCTTGGTCAGCGAGGAACATCTCGAAGGTGTTTGATGTGAACGGCGGCCCGTTGTCGGAGACTATGAGGTCGGGAATCCCATGTGTGGCGAATAGGCGTCTCAATACTTTAATCACTGCGTCTGCTGTGGTCGTCGACATGAGCACTACTTCGAGCCACTTTGAATATGCGTCCACGATGACTAGGAACGTATTCCCTTTGCACGGCCCTGCGAAGTCGATGTGCAATCTGGCCCATGGTGTTCCCGGGTTTTCCCAGTCGTGGACGGGGGCTGAGTTTGGTGCCGCCCTCGACTCTTGGCAGTTTGCGCAGGAGGACACCCACGTCTCGATTTCCTTGTCCATCCCGGGCCACCACACGTAGCTTCTGGCCAGGGCTTTCATCCTCACAATCCCCGGGTGCCCGTCGTGGAGTAATCTGAGTGTCTGTTGTCTTAGTGTGTTTGGAACAATGACTCTATCCCCCCACAACACGCACCCCCTTAGTCCTGACAGTTCATTTTGCCTCCGTTTGTATGGCAGGAACTCTGTGCTTATGTCTTTTTCCTCCGGCCACCCCTTCCAGATCCAATTTAAAATCCGCGCCAGTATTTTGTCCTTTGAGGTGGCCCTCGCGATGTCGGCTGCAGAAATTCGGGCTTCCTCCATCGTCTCGATTAGCAGGGTGGTCATCGCTGGCGCTGGATCCTCCCCCGTTTCTGGAAGTGGGCACCTGCTGAGGGCGTCTGCATGGTCGATTGATTTTCCCGGGTGGTGGAGCAGTGTGTAGTTGTAGGCCGCCAGAAACTCCACCCATCTTAGCATTCTGGGCGACAAAACGGGGGGTGTTGGTTTGTCCCCTGCTATGATGCCTAACAATGGCTTGTGGTCAGTTATTAGTTCAAAACTCCGACCGTAGAGATACTCATGGAACCTTTTTATTCCGGCTACTGCGGCTAACGCCTCTTTGTCCAATTGGCTATAGTTCCGTTCGGGTTTTGACAAAGTCCGGGAGAAAAATGCAATGGGGGCCTCTGTTCCATTAGGCATCTTGTGGCTCAATACAGCTCCGATGCCGAAGGGGGATGCATCGCAAGTTAGTCTTATGGGTAATGTCCCGCTGTATTGCACTAAAACTCTGTCTGACGTTAAAAGGTTCTTTATGTCTTCAAACGCTTTCCTCTCTCGCTCCCCCCATTTCCATTCTGCCTTCCTGTCCAGTAGCCGGTGGAGTGGTTCAGCAGTGGTAGCTTTCTGCGGTAGGAAGATATTATAAAAGTTAAGCAACCCCAAAAATGCCTGCAGTTCGGTTTTATTTTTTTGGGGGGGTGCTTCCTTGATCGCTCTCAGCTTCCTGGGGGTGGGTCTAATTCCCGACTCATCTATCAAGTATCCCAGGAACTCGACCTGAGTCTCTGCTAGTTGGCACTTGTCCCTTTTAACTTTGAGTCCCACTTTCTGGAACCTTGTCAGCACCTCCCTCAGCCGCTGCTTCAATTGAGTCGTGTCCCTTGCTGATATTAATACATCGTTGAAATATGGGATGACTCCCTCGATTCCCTGTAGGAGTCGTTCCATCAGGCTTTGGAAAAGCCTGGGCGCTACGCTCACCCCAAATTGCAGTCTCTTACATTTGAATGCACCCCTGTGTGTAACGATGGTTTGTGCTTCTGCGGTGGCTTCATCTACGGGCAGCTGCTGGTATGCTTGTGCTAAATCCAATTTTGCGAAGATTCTTCCCCTCCCCAAGGAATGCAAGAGGTGTTGGACTACTGGTACAGGGTATGCGCTTTGTTGGAGCGCCTTATTTAATGTACTTTTATAGTCTCCGCACAAGCGTACTGACCCGTCCGGTTTAATCGGTGTCACGATGGGGGTTTCCCATCTCACATGGTCTATTGGCTCTAACACTCCCTGCGCGACCAGTTTATCTAATTGTTCGTCTATTTTTGGCCGTAGCGCAAAAGGGACTCTCCGGGGTTTGATTCGGATTGGGGCTACCTGGGGGTCTAAATTGAATGAGATTGGGGACCCTTTGTACTTGCCTAGCTCGTTGTTAAAGACCTCTGCGAACTCCCTCATCAGGTCCTCCTCCCAGGTGTCGTTTCCGATGTGATCGACGCCGGTGATGGCTAGCCCCAATGGCTCGAACCACTCCATGCCCAGCAGGCTGGGCCGGTCTCTGTCCACAATCGTGAGGGGTAGCGTGGCTTTGAATGTCTTGTAGGCTACGTTGAACTTGCCAATGCCTACCACAGGAATTCGGTTCCCTTGGTAGTCGATGAGGGTGAGGTGCTGTCGTTTGAGGTCGCGGGCTGTGATGTGTGGCAGGAGCTTCTTGATTGTTGTCCAGGATACCATTGATAGGCTGGATCCCAAGTCCACCTCCATTCTGCAGGGTCTCCCCTCGATCAAGACTGTTGCCGCCATCTTATTTGCCCTTCCCGCGCTGGCATGGCCAATCACGATGGTTTGATGGGTCTCGCCTCGATCCGCCCGATGGTCATCGTTTCTTTGTCCTCGCCCGAACGGTTGTCTCTTCCCACTTGTCTGGAATTTTCTGTTGTTTGTTGGCGATCAGGGGGGGTCTGGTCCTCCTTGAGGCTGGCTGGGATGCCCTGCAGACCCTCGCTATGTGCCCTTTCTTTTCGCATCTTTGGCAGATAGCGTCCCGGAATCTGCATTCGGCTCTCGGGTGGTTCCCTTCGCATCCCGAGCACCAGGCCTCTCTCTTCCCCTGTTGTCTCTCCTTGCGATCGGCTCGGAGGTGATGGACTTCATCCTCCTCGTCCTCTTCCTCTGAACCCGATTCCACTCTTTCATAGTGCACGGCCGCCTCCTCCTTTACGGGCGGCCCGCTTTTCATTTTCTTCATAGCCGCCGCCGATTTCTGGGAAGCTTCGGTTGCGGATGCTTCTTCCAAGGCCTCCTTGAATGTAATTTGAGGCCGGGCCAGCAACCTACTCTGTAACGTGAGGTCCCTCAGTCCCAGTACTAGATGGTCCCTCATGGCCTCTTCTAGATTCAGGAAATCGCATGCGGCAGCTATTTCCCGCAAGGTCGCCACGAACGCACTGATTGTCTCTCCCTCTCTTTGGTCCCTCTGATAAAACTCATGCCTTCTTACCAGGGATGATGCTTGTGGTGTGTAGTGTGCCTTGAGTATTTCTTGCAACGTTGTCCAGGTCATGGTCTTCAGATCGGCTGGGGCGGCAAGCGCTTTTGCCATTTTAAACACTGCCGGGCCGCAATGGGTGAGGAAAAGGGCCCTCTTCCTCTGCTCTGATAAGCTCAGCAGATCGTTCGCCTCCATGAACATATAGAATCGCTCCATGTAAGCTTCCCAATCTTCCCCGGTTGGGTTGAATGGAGCGGGCGGTGTGATTGCAGACATCACGATAGCCGATGATCTGACCGGTGTTTCGGTGGATCGGATGGGTGGCTGATGATTGCTTGGAGATTGATGTGCAGTCCTGTTCCTTCAGATCCCACCTTCGTCGCCAATGTTAAATCGTGGGCGATTGAAGGAAGACTCGAAACAATGTAACTGTAACTCTTTTATTTAACTCCAGAAACAGCAATGGCAATTCAAACCCCGGGCAACCCTTTATATAGGAAGGGGCTGTCCCCGGCTGCAACCACTGACGTGCCTTCTAATTTCCCGCTCTCAGGACTAATTCCTGATTGGCTCATTTGAACTGTACTTGATATCTAACAATGTACAATATGATGTCTTTCATAGCAACAGCAATAGCACTTAGATTTATATACCACTTCACAGTTCTTTACAGTCTCTCTAAGTGGTTTACAGAGTCAGCATATTGCTCTTAACAATCAGGGTCATTTTATTGGCCTTGGAAGGATGGAAGGCTGAGTCAACCTTGAGCCGGTCAGAATTGAACCCCTGGCAATCAGCAGTAGTTAGCTACTACAATACTGCATTCTAAACACTGCGCCACCAGGACTCTTCTCAAGGTCAGTCTAGCTGCTGAGCTTTGTCCCAATTGACATTTCTTCAACTAAACACAAAGGCAACCCCCATAGAGTCCATTACTATAGTCAAATCTGAAAGTTAACAGCACGTGCACTGTGGTTTAAAATCATTATCTTCCAGAACGTGATATGATTGACCTGACAGTGATAAAAAGCACTTCTAGTCATTTCCTCAATCTGGGAAATCAGGGAGAAATTGGAGTCAGGGGTTTTCTCTAGCTGGATATTTACTCCTTCTGGCAGAGTCTAATCCCTTTCAGAACAGGTAGAATTATGGCCTCTTTGTCTTATCTGGAATCCGTTTGGTGTTATGATCCCTCATGCAGCCAGCCCATTGCTAACTGCAGGCAGGAGACTCACGCTATTTCCTGAAAATGTCAGAGAGAAATAGATCTGAGCGTCCTCAGAATACTGATGGCACCCAGCTCCAAGTCTCCTGTGATCTCTCCAGACAGTTTGTGCACATATTCAACAATGTTAGAGACAGGATGGAGCTCTGAGTGACACCATACAACAGCTTCCAAACTATCTCAAGTCTCCTTGTATGAGAGAAAATACCACTGAGCTTGATCCAAAAGGATAACATGATCAATGATATTGAAGGCAATTGGTAAGTTTTTCTTAAAAAAAAAATAACCCCAATCATAGTCTCTCTGACGGTCTCCATACAAAGATCATCCATCAGGTTGACCAAAGCAGTATTAATACCCAAACCTGCTCTGAAGCTGGTCTGAAATGAAACACAAGGAGTTGCTTTTTTTTTTTTTTTTAATTTGATTTATATGCCGCCCTTCTCCGGAGACTCAGGGCGGCTTACAATGCGTTAAGCAATAGCCTTCATTCTTTTGTATATTTTATATAAAGTCAGCTTATTGCCCCCACAAACTGGGTCCTCATTTCACCTACCTTAGAAAGGATGGAAGGCTGAGTCAACCTTGAGCCTTGGAGAGATTCGAACCAGCAGAAATTGCAGGCAGCTGTGTTAATAACAGGGTGCACTAAACCACTGTACTATCAAGGCTCTTTTTCCAGGAACATCTGCACTTAAGAAGCCACCACTCTCTATAATTTACAATGTCAAAGCATTATTTGTATATTGCCTCCAATAATCTGGGTCCTCATTTTACCAACCTCGGAAGGATAGAAGGTTGAGTCAACTGCCTTACCTAACCATAGGAGTTTAGAGCCTGGTCTATTCATTGTCATCTCTGAAGGATCCAGGAGAGGTTTTTAAAGGAGAGATCTAGTAATTGCCTCCTTTAAACTAGCATGCATTCTTTCATCCCTCAAAGAGACATTTACTGTGTTAACTATGACATTTGAAATAACCTCCTGACTAGAATTATAAGCCAAGCTGGGCAGATATCCAGAGGACAAGTGTTGGAACATATTGCTCTAAGCTACTTGTCCATGTCCTTGGGTAACACAAATGATCTACTCCAACTCTACAGCAATGCCCCTGTACATGTCTCTACACTAAAGATGGCATCCATATTGTGCCAAATAGCAATGGCATTTAGGTTTATATACAGCCCCATAGTGCTATATAGTATAGATATTATACAATATCAAAGCATTATTTGCATATTGCTCCCAGTAATGTGAATCCTCATTTTACTGACCTCGGAAGGACAGAAGGCTAAGTCAACCTTAAATCCTGCCAGGATTGAACTCCAGGCTGTGGTCAGAGTTTGTCTGAAATACTCCACTTTAACTATTGCACCATTAGGGCTCTATGACTGCTATAGTGAAATATGAGTGATTTAAATAAATAAATAAAAAGAAACTCTCTGAAAGCATCACACCAACCCAGCAAGGGTTCTATAAGAGAACTTTGGAAAACTAAGCCTTATCAAAGTCCATAACTACTCAGCAAGTCATTAACTTATAGATGCAAAATGTACAAGGAAAACTCCTTTGCTGTATATAGTGCTACAGAATTGGCTTCCATACTGTACCTTACTAGATTCAAGGTGGATCTTCTTCCAACTATGCTCTAACTATACATCTTGCCACTTAATCTCCTGAGTTGTTTTATGTATTATGGGGATAGATTTGAAGTAGTTGGAAAGAACACTTAGGAACAATTGTGTTGAGTGCCTTAGCAATTTCATTATTCCAGGTACCAGCCAGGGCACAAAGGGAATTAGCAGTGGAAACTGCCTCAATTCTTCTAAAACAGTGGCCCCCACCCTTTTTGGCTTGATGGCCCAGTGCAAGGGAGGGGAGGGGATAGTTCCTTGTGAGTGTTAGGTGGGCACGCGCAAGGGTGTGCATCTCTATTTATGCAAGTGGTGGATGTGTGCACTGCCATTTGTGCAAAGAAAGCTTCGTGCATGAGTGCAAGCGGTGGCTGCTTGCACAAAGGGAGCTTCACATGCAAGAGCAAGCAGTTGCCACTTATGCAAGGGGAACTTTGTGTGTGGGTGCAAGTGGCCGCTGCTTGTGTGAGGGAAGCTTCACATATGAGTACAAACAGCTGCCACTCACGCAAGGGGAGCTTCTCATGTGAGTACAAGCAGCTGCTGAACATGCAAAGGGAGCTTCGCATGGGTGCACACGCTCTCCCGCCTCTCACATGGCCTAGTTCCAAACAGGCTGCGGCCTGGTAATGGGCCCGGGGATGGGAACCCCTCTTCTAAAACTCCTTCAGAAGGATCCTTTTCAGGGAAATTGTCAGTTCCACTAGATAAGCCAGACTAAGAAATCAACTTCACATGAAAGATTGAAACTACAGTACTTTAATTGAGATGGGCTATAATAACAGAACCTTGCAAATCTCATTTTGCTATATCTCTTCTTCCTTCTTATAGTTCAATGAATTAGGAAGTTATCTGCCATTTCTAAACATTATCTGGCCATCCTAGACTTAAAACAGGTTTTATCCCTTGTCTTGCATATCTCCCTCAAGGTCATTTTCCTTACTCTCTATATGATCCATATTAATGAGTCCACTTCCTCTAGAGTGAAGTGTAGCCAATAATTTGACCTTAACCAGATGATGATCAGATTGTGACAACAGGAACCCTGAGTTGTTCCCACCCACCCTACTCACTTTCCTGCTTAGAAAATGTCAAATCAAATCAAGTATGTGATCAGTATCATGTGTTGGCCCTTGGACAAATTGTGATAGTCCTATAGTTTTCATTGTTGCTGTCAGATGTTTAGTCACTGAAGACAAGCCAGACCTATTGAAATGCACATCACAGATTTTCAATAGTAATTCTGAGACTACTTTTACCCAGAAATTTTTTCATAGGCAGCAGTGTGGATGGATCCTAATCATAAACATCTAATCTTTATAAGAGGTACAGGTAATCCTCAATTTATGACCACAATTGGGACTGGAATTTCAGTCATTGCAATCATAAGTCGATGTACCATCTGACCAGACTTGATTTTACAACCATTTTTATGATGGTTGTTAAGTGAGCAACCATAGCAGTTGAGCGAACCATATGGTTGTAAGCATGAATCTATTTTATCCAATGGATGTTTTTTCCCAGGAAAATGGCCAAAAAAAGGTCACAAAACATGATCATGTGACTACGGGATGCTACAACCGATTGTAAATATGAATCTGTTGCCAAGCATCAGAAATGTGATCATGTGACCGCAGGGGTGCGGCAGTCCTAACTTCAAGCTTGGGTCGTAACTTTTTTTTAAATGTCATAACTTTGAATAATCGTTAAGTGGTCTGTTGTAGGTCAAGGACTACCTATATGAGACGTGTTCAGCTGAAATTCTACCTAGCAGACAAAAATGGCAGTGGATTTGTTCACCTACCCACTACCCAAAGACTAGCTGGATACATAAGCAGTGTGAAGGGGTATTGGAAGACTTACTTATATATGAATTGCCTCATTGTGCCTTCTCAACCTATTAACTACTAAGGGTAGCTAGAAGTAGTCAAAATTAGTGTCAGTGTTTCCCTCTTTGTTATACCTAGCATGCCCTGAATGCCATACAGAATGGGAGAATAGCACCGTTGTCATCACTTCTGTTTCCTGCTCCTTGATCTTACAATCACTCTCTTTCCTGCTCTTCAGAGGTTCAAGGAGATCTTGCAGATGATTTTTCAAACCTTAAGTTTCCACAAGAACATGATGGGCTTCGTGAGAGACTAAAGGAAGAAAAAAAAAAATCATTCAAATGCAGAATCCTGCAGAGTCCATAGCATTTTTTCTAAGGTACAGAATAAAGGGTGGGACTTGTTGGCCGACATTCAGAAGCACTTGCCACTCCCACCTGCTGGGGTATTTGTACTAATGATGAATTCCTCACTGTGTCGTTGAAAAGCAGGCAGCAGGGGTTCCGGGAAATTTTGAACAGTTTCTACAGCCTGAAAAAGTTGAAAAAGTCCTATCTCATAGGCTATGTTGCTTTTTCAGAATACCGGAAGCTTTTATCCAGAACCGTCTTCATTTTACTTCTTTCTGGGAGCATATTCTGGTGCATAAACCTGCTCCCACATGCCTATCAACCTCTTGGCCTGTGTCTGAATGTGTATGTTCTGCGTGGTTCTTTCCTTGCAATGAAGTCCAACGTTGTTAATCTGTTGTAGAAAACAACAACAGAATATTGTGGCCTCTTAATAAAAATGTATTAAACTACAAGTGTTTGTGGCCACTTAGGCTTGTAGCTCAGAATAACACTTTCACTGATCTGAGAAGTAGACAGCAATCCAGAAAGACATATCCCAGGAAACAAAATCTGTTACTCTTTGATGATTACTCTTTGATGTTTTTCTTATGTTATGGCAGGGGTGTCAAAACTCAAGGCCTGCAGCCTGCGGGGTGCTTAGATCTAGCCCGCAGGGCTGCCCTGGAAACAGTGGGGGTCTGGTCCACTGTGCCTCTACCAGCAAAAACGGAGCTTGGGAGGGCTGCACACAGTCCTCACGAACTCCATTTTCAGCAGCAACGGCCTCATGCTACCTACCCTCTGCCAGCAAAAATGGAACTCGGGTGTGTGTGTGTCCGTTTTCGCTGGTAGAGGGTTGCAGGAGGCCGTCCCAGCCGAAAATGGAGCTCAGGAACCCGTTTTTGCTGGCAGAGTGCTCAGGCCACAGGTGCCCCCAACATGAGTGGCATCAAGCTGTCCACAGCCACCCTGCCCCCTGAGATCAAACACAACCCTGATGCGGCCCTCAATGAAATTGAGTTTGACACCTGTCTTATGGAGAAGATAGGTCTGCAAAGCTGAATGTCTTGGAAAGAGCAAAGTATTTAAAATCAGTTCCACATTTTCCCCTTTCCTTGCAAATATTTTCATCGAATAGTTTTGTGTCAAGTGATAGAATTCAGCAAAAGGCAATCTGATAGGAAACGGCAGCAAAATAGGAAGCTGACGGTAACCCAAAACATATTTCAATTTATGCTTTTGTATAGAAGTGCAAAGATTACAAAGTGCCAATAATTCTGTACCAATTACATTTTTAAGGAACTTCCATTAGATGTGTGTTGCCTATTGAAACATAGAGCGACACAAGAGATTAGTCTGCGAATACATTAAAGGATGGCAGAGCAAACTCAAATATGAAAATCTCTATGTAATAGCAAAATAACATATAATCTGAGGAGCTTCAAGGTTTGTAACATATCTGGGTTCTCAATGTCTTAATCCATTGTCTTATTCCAATGCATATGTATCAATTGATTTGATCTATTATACTAAGTTTACTGTATGGTACATATCAGATCCTTATGGTCTGCAAGCCATTTTTAGTTTTCACAGTGTATAAATCTACACAAGAAGGGCTTCCTCGCTTAGAGTTTCATCAATAAGTGATGCAGGCTGCTTGGAAGTGTGTAGACTTGGCATCTCTCTTTGGTCAGCCTAATGAAGACTTATACGTTTGCACTACTGAGCTGAAGCATCTCTGAGGCAAGATCTGAAAAGGTAAGAGTTAGCTACCCCAGCTTCTGTAATTGGCCTGAAATTGATGAGTAAGGTGCCTTCCTGTAGTGGAATGCAGTCTAGATTTCCAGGAGAGAGATGGAGTACATTATTCTAGGGACCTAAAAACAGCCGAGTTTAGATAGTTTGAGTGGGAGGAAGAGAGTCAAAACAACTCCTATGACATTGGTTATGTTCTTAACTGCTACGATAAATTATACCACTGAAGCCCATATATATTCACCAAGGCATCAGAAGCAAACCCAGTTAAACTTCCTGGGTATCAGGGGTAAAATCCAGCAGGTTCTGACAGGTTCTGGAGAACCGGTAGCAGAAATTTTGAGTAGAACTGGAGAACCAGCAAATACTACCTACTACTACCCCAGAGTTGGATGGGAATGGAGATTTTGCAATATCCTTCCCCCAGGAGTGGGGAGGGAATGGGGATTTGCAGTATCCTTCCCCTGCCATGCCCAAGCCACGCCCACCAAGCCACACCACACCTACCAAGCCACGCCTACAGAACCGGTAGTAAAAAAATTTGGATTTCACCACTGCTGGTATATATAGAGACAATTGGGCTGCATACTATGGTTGAATGTTTGCAATGTATCACGTCTCATTGCAAACATAAAATAGGTTTAACTAATATTTAAACAAAACCTCGTAGTTGCTATAACATAGGCAAGAGTATATCAACTCTTGGAAAGTAATTTAGATGAGAGATCCCAGTTTGAAAAGAATAGTACAATCATGCTTGGAGTAAAACCGGTTGCTTGTGGCATATCGACTTAAATATACCCAAACTAACCAGTACTATCCATATCATTAGCAGGGATTGCTCTATTTAGCACAGACATTATTAAAGTTGATAACGTAGTATGCACGATAGTGGCCCTTACTAATTATGTGAAAGCCTCATTGACCAAAGATAGGATGGGCTGTGCAGGTTAATATTTGTGGGGGCATATAGACTCATGGCATATGGTAGATTGCACCTTGGAATGTAAGAGGAGCAAATGGTAAAGAGTAACGGTTATCAAATGAACAAAATGAAAGAAAATTAAATGTCCTATTCTTTCTATGAAAATAAGAGAAAGGGGAACGGGAAAATAAGTGAAAGGGGAAAAAAGGAAACTAAGAGAAAGAAGAATTAAGAGAACGTCATAGATCTGGAGGACAGCAGTCTGATATTGTGAATATGCATAGAAGTGACGGTGTATGAATGAAAGAGTTAAAATATATGCCAGAGTATAAACTGGTGTTTTAAAAATTATTATGAGTGTATAAGAAAGTAGGAATGCATAGGCTGATTATATTCATTGTTCCAGTGAATGATGAAAATGAAAGAACCAGAGACACATTTGGGATACATTATGCAACATCATGAATGAGTGTGACAAAGTGAGGGAAAGTTATTCTACTAGGTGCCATGAATGGGCGGGTAGGAATCAGAGAAGACAATACATGATTGGGTCCTCTAGAGATTCATGATGATTCAAGCAATCATCTTTCATGAGAAAGATGATTGCTTGATGAATATCTGCTTTTAGAAAAAGGTCTGGTTTGAATAGGTGGTTTAGATATAAGTCCCTATATGCATGCATGGCAAAAATACATATAAATATAATGGATTTTATTGTTTATGAGAAAGCTCAAGAGGATACAAAGCAGATTAAAAAGATGCATGTAAGAAAATGACAGCTTCAAGAAATGAGAATGAGAGAAGGGTGTTGTATAATGTCTACGGAAACAAATACTGTAGTTGCAAAGAAGGTAGTAAAAAGAATAATGAATAGAGAAAAGAGGCAGAGAACATTCAATGGAATGGAAAAATAGTGTATTGGAAGTGAGTGAAAAGGGCTAAATAAACAGCCTCCATAATTGATGGTCCATAATTTTAATAACAATAATGATGATGTTTTAATAATAATAATAAAGCTATATACTCAGACGTTACCTTAACAGCTCTTAGGCTCTTGGTTAAGACTTGAACTGTTAAGTTTTTACCAGTCCCAGACTGTGAATTGAATTGAAGATTAAATCTTAAATAAAAACTTTAATAATAAAGTCTTGTCTGACACACAAACATACACACACACACACACACACACACACACACACACGTATCTATATTTTCCAATACTAATAATGGGATCAGCTCTGTGGTCACATGCTGGCCACATGACCATGGAAATATCTGCTCAGTGGACCTTGCAATGGAGATGAGCGCTGCCCCCTATAGTGGGCAATAACTAACAGAGTAAAATCCCCAGGGACTCCTTTACTTTTACTTTTCTCTAGTCACCAGATTGACCAGAGAAAAGCCAGATAAATAACATTTATTAAACATTGACTTCTATTTTGGGAGGTGTGTTTTTAATCTTAATTTTTCATTGGGAACATGTCTGAAAGAGGCTACATAAAAAACCATCTCTTTTTCTGCCCTATAGGGAGCATAGCTGGAAAAGAGGCTTACTTGTACCCCATAAAGGAATTGTGCAACTGTTTTGAAGCAAACTCCTTAATGGCAGCAGGATTGTTACTCCCTCCCTGTTTCAATGGAATCTTAAAATAGCTGTCATGCTCTTTGGGGCTTAGGAGAAAATAATACAGCTGGGTGGTTGTCCTTCGGGAGGATTGCAAGGCTATTCCCAATATTTGTAGCATCTAACATACAGTTTGTTAATTCTCCATACACCATAACATAGTTCTTTGATCCATGATAGCCAGCTGTTCTTCCTTTGCAGTTTAACCCCAGGGTTTTAAAAGCTCTCCTTAGACCAATTTGAATCCGTGATAATAACGGTGGCATCATCTACTGTACATGCAACAAGATTGGCAGGTAGTTTTCTACCGGTTTTGGAATTTATAAATCAAATTCCTACAAGCATCTTAGAGTATTGGTGAATCCATACACACGTTACATAAAATAGGATCAATAGGATCTTTGCTGTATCCCTTTAGGTGTCATCTGGAAAGCTGTCCAGTCCAATCTCACTTTGCACTGGTATACAGCAGGGGCCTCCAAAGTTGGCAACTTTAAGACTTGTGAACTTCAACTTTATTTTATTTTATTTTATTCATTTATTTTGTCAAGCATGTATTTTATGACAGATACAAGACAGATAAAACATAATTATAAATACATGAAAAGGATACGAACAAAAGAAAACATTAGGACAGGGACGGTAGACACGCTGGAGTGCTTATGCATGCCCCTTACACTTCTAGAATTCCCCAGTCAAATTTGTGTGGGTGGGTGTACACACACACACACACACACACACACACACATGTATATGTATATGTATATGTATGTATATGTATGTATTATAAACCCCTAGCATTAGGCTTTTTTAATAGACAAAACCTTGATTTTCTCCAAAAGATGGGCTCTTACAATTGAATCCAATGCAGCCTCAAAACCCACAATCCCTAGGAGAGAAAAGGATGGAGGAATCTCTCTGTCTCTATACTACTGACTGTAGATCTGCAATCTGCTTGAGATAATAACTATTAGCAATGTCTCATGCCAGTTGACAAGGAAAATACCTTCACAACAGCATGGAGAAATGTCAACATGTGCTATGCAAATGCGGAGAGAAATATAGTCATTTGTTGAATAATAATAAATGTGGTGGAAATGTCTGCTTATAAGAGCACATTTCTTGCCCCTTAGTTACCTGGAGGTGAAAGTGGCTGTGTAGAAGAGGACACTTCTGCCTTTTCAGTTACCTGGGTATGACAGAAGAAACGTGAAAGTAAATTGCAATGGGAAAGGGTAACTTAATTATGAATCAAAATGAAAAGGGAGAACATCAAAAAGGTATGGATACTGCATGAATGTGCCTTGAATACAAGAATGTCTAGTACAAAATACATGTATTGAAGTGGTTGGTCACATAGAAGGAATGAAGGAAGATCCAATTATACAATGAATACAAGTAAGAAAAATAAATGGATTGAAAAGAAAGGGAATACCAAGGAAGTCAGGTTTGTATGGATGGAGCTGACAACCCAAGAAAGAGAAATAGGGAACTTTCGATTAGACTATGCAGGGAGGTAAAGATAAAAAGCTATGAAATATACATTGAATGATGCTGGTGTAAACTAATTTGAGCTGTTTCCATTTTGTTTCCTTTTCATAATACCTTTGATTTCTTTGGTTTACTTTTTCTTCTTTTTCTGCACTGTAATCTTGCTTACCCTGAAATGGAAGAATGTGGTGGGTTTATGCACTTGTGTGTATGCATGTGTATAATCCCAGTGGCATTCACAGACTTTGACAGGGCAAATTAGAATAGGTCTCACTTACTGAAGATAACTTTGTAAAATGTAAGCTTGGCCTTGGTTAGGAATTCCAGGATGAGAAAGAATACCAATCGCTTTTCTTATTCACAGAAAAAAAAAGCCTGTACTGTAATCAATAAATATTGAAGCTACAGGCTTTGCAAAACTATGTTAGACATTCATATTTTCTCATTCTTTTTGCATCTAAATCTTTTTGAAGAAAGGCATTGGTGTATGCTTCTCCCACCCTTCATCCCCCAGGATCACTCCATATTCTTATTCATTCCAGATGAAGGAAGGAAGGAAGGAAGGAAGGAAGGAAGGAAGGAAGGAAGGAAGGAAGGAAGGAAGGAAGGAAGAAGGAAGGAAGGAAAGAAAGAAGGAAAGAAAGACAACATGACTTTGGGCCAGTCACTCTCTCTCAGTGTAACCTACCTGAAAGGGCTATTGTTGTGAGGAAAAAAGGAGGAAGAAAGTGTGTTGGATATATTTGCCATCTTGAGTTGTTTGTAAAATTAATAAAAGGCAGGATTTAAATAAACAACAAACAAACAAACAAACAAACAAACAAACAAACAAACAAACAAACAAACAAGCACATTGTGAGCGTTAGTCCAACCTTAGGCATGCATAGAAAGCTGTCTGGGTGACCTTGGGCCAGTCATTTTCTCTCAGTTCATCTCACAGAGTTGTGGAGAAAATAGGAGGAAGCACTATAATGCATGTTTGTCACTTTGAGCTACTTATACAGTTAATAAAGGTGGGATAAAAACATCTAAAAATAATTTTAGAAACTAACTAACCTTAGCGGAGCACAGTGGAAAAGTAAAACTTTCTACTGTCATAATTGTGCAGTGCTACGGAGGCAGTATTGAGATTCAAATCTCCATAAAATTGCCAATAAACTTTATGATACTGGTTGAATGAAAGTTTTGGGCTGGCTTGAGGGAGACCCAAGGTCAGGTCCACTCTCTGAACCAGCTGAAGCTTCCAGATGTTTTTCAAAGGTAGCCTCATGTAAAGCACATTGTGGTAGTTCAGTTAGGAGGCAACCAAGACCTGAGTGACCATTAGCAGACCTTCTTGATCTACAAAAGTACAAATTGGCATAAAACTTGTAGCTATGCAAAAGCTCTTCTTGCCAGGACTGCTACTTGTTCCTTGAACAGAAACCCTGAGTTCAGGAGAACTCCCAAACTTAGAGGCATGGATCTAATACACAGACGGCTGAGCTTATAGCTCTAAGAATCCTGTTCACTTCCTCAGATGCAACAGAATCAAATTCATCCCGGTGGCAGGATCATGATTCCATCAATTCCAAAGGATCTGCCTTAAGGCCAGAGAACAGCTTAGTGAAAACTTGGTTAACTTTAGCTGACAGTGTGTTCCTTACAGCAACTCTGCAAATTTTACTTTCCTGAAGAGGGACTCTAAGCAAGGAAACCAACTGTCAGCAGGCATGATAAGAGTGGAAAGTTAAGTTTGGTTCAGTGGTGAAATCCAATTTTTTTAATTACCGGTTCTGTGGGCGTGGCTTGGTGGGCGTGGTGTGTTTTGGTGGGCATGGCAGGGGAAGGATACTGTAAAATCTCCATTCCCTCCCCACTCCAGGGGAAGAATACTGCAAAATCTCCATTCCCACCTCACTCTGGGGCCAACCAGAGGTGGTATTTGCCGGTTCTCCAAACTACTCAAAATTTCTGCTACAGGTTCTCCAGAACCTGTCAGAACCTGCTGGATTTCACCCCTGGTTTGGTTCTCTTACCACCATGAAGTGGGCCTTATTAACGTGTAACCAAGTTTTAGCCAGCTTTACTCCCTGTTGTCCTTGTTGCCGTTATTGCACCCCAAAATCAGCATCCTTGCTTTGTGTTGGAGAGTTAACTATGACTGTAAGGAAGTCTTAACTTCCTAGATTTTGATTGTGTAATGCGTAAGAGCATTTTACATATCTCGTCCATAAGAAGTGTTTTGAAACTAATTAGAAGCGTGACATTTAAATTGCCATTCCAAACATTTTGATTACTGGAAAAAGACTGAAATTAGACATTTTTCAACATTCCTTATAATCAGGAAGTCAAGGACATACAGAACTTTTGGTAGTAAGGCTGACGTGCTCCAGGAGTCTCTGATTCATTTTCACTGGTTCCTTTTAAAAGATGGGAGTACAGATAGTTCTTGATTTATAACCATTCATTTAGTGATAGTTCAAAGTTACAACACCACTGAAAAAGTGACTTATGACCATTTTTTCCACACGTATGACCATCGCAACATTCTCATGGTCACATGATCAAAGTTTGGATTCTTGGGAATTGGCATGTATTTATGATGGTTGCATGTGATCATCGCAAAAGGTGACACGCAGAGTCAATGGGGAAGCCAGACTTACTTGACAGCTAACTTACAACTGCCAGGATTCACTTAACGACTACGGCAAGAAAGGTCATAAAATGGGGGCAAAACTCATCTAACAACTGTCTTGCTTAGCAACAGAAATGTTGGGTTCAATTGTGGTCATAAGTTGAGGACTATCTGTAGCTGATATGTTGGCTTAATTTAAAAAAAGAAAAGGAAGAAAATGTTGTCCCATCTATCCAGTAGCACTGTCCCAGTGCTACTTTGCATCATGATTAATCTTGCTTCACTTCTTATCCAGTTGGAGGAGTATATATTAGCTATAAAACTGAGGGATAAAACTGCAAAAAGCATTCACTTTATGCAGACATTTTGTAAAATAAAGACTTCTAAACTAGAGATCCTGACTCTTATACATATACTCTTTATTCATTTGATTTTACAGTTTATTCTTGTTCTAGCAGGCAGACAGTTCTATGCATGGAAGTCGCAAGATACAAAAAAAAATTGTTAATGACTAGTAAGATCAAAAAAATGTTGCCTCAGTGTTACTGGCTAGGACACCAACTGCTTTTGACTGCTTTCATATCCAGCACTTTCAGGTATTCTCAAAGGTTAACTCCAAATGGACAATAACTGTAAATTGAAGCAGAAAGGTGAAAAATATATGTGGCAGACTAATGAAAAAAGAATACTGCTCTTCATTATAGAATGATTATTTAATTATATCAATTGCCTTCTAGTTTGTGGATTTATTTTGCTTCATTTTTCACACTTTCTCAAATTTATAGCTTCATTTTTTTCCCCTGACTACTTCTTTCTGAACATCTTGCTTTTTCATTGAATGCAGGTTGTTTCTGTTATTTGGTGAACTCCGTGCTGTCTTTTCTCTCCATTATCCGTCTTTTTGTTTCATGCCTCTTTGTGTGCCAGAGCAAATTTTATCCTCTTTCTTTCCACCTACACTATTTACCTAAACACATATTTGTGGACCTCTCTTTACTCAGCTAAGGAGTGCATGTTGTGCACCTGCCTCAGTAAGGAAATTGTGGCTGTTATAGGAGGAGTCACGGGTATATTTATAGTCCTATCTGTTGGAAACCAACCATTCCAGCTGGAAGGAGTGCTTCAGCGTGGATGTAGTCTGGACTCTCTTCATAAACCATAAGAGAGCTAGGCATGACCTTCCTTGCATGACTTAGAGCTTTACCTCGTAGTTTCCAGAAAGCTACCAGTCTGGGGAGATTCCTGCATAACAGGCAGAGAACAATAAAGTAGTCATCTTACACCTTACAACTGTGGGTCTGGTTGTTCACATCTAAGGTTACCTTATTTTAAATGAGCTAAACTAATAACCAATTTTGATCTTAGAAGAAAACACATTCATGTACCTTCTATTTATTTTATGTAATATTTTCCACTGGGTAGATACCAATTGATTGATCTTTCTTTCAAAAATTGCAAGCAATGAAAATTGCCATGTTGCCGTATTGTTCCTCCAAAGCATATTTAGAGAGACTGCAGACAGTGGCATAAACAACCATTTCCTCAGAACCTGTTGCAGTGAATTTTGCTTTCATTTTATGAAGTGTCTAGGCTATCTTTCATCTGCATGGATGCCTTCATGGTGTAGAATAACAAAACATAGTCCTTTCTCCACTATTGTTTAACATTTAGATGAAACCATTGACAGAGATCATCGAGATGTTTGGGGAAAGTATCATTGTTATACTGACAATATCCAATTGTACATCAGCTTTTGTAGCATTTTCCTTATTAGCCTTCCTCCAGTGATAGACTATAATAGAAGAACTGAGTTGGAAGGGGCCTTGGAGGTCTTCTAGTCCAATCCCCTGCTGAGGCAGGAAACCCTACTCCACTTCTGACAAATGGTTATCCAATCTCTTCTTTAAAACTTCCAGTGTTGGAGCATTTACAACTTCTGGAGGCAAGTTGTTCCACTGATTAATTGTTCTAACTGTCAGAAAATTTCTCCTTAGTTCTAAGTTGTTTCTCTCCTTGATTCGCTACCACCCATTGCTTCTTGTCCTACCCTCAGGTGCTTTGGAGAATAGCTTGACTTCCTCTT